CAGTTAAACCCATCTATCATTCATTTTTAATTTTGCTTTATTCTGATTTATTTTTGTTCGTGACAACAAGCCACAGGAATGTATGCTGTCATAACTGATACAAACATTGACTGCACTAAGAAAAGCCTATTGTGAGACAAATGCTGGTGATATGTAAATGTCAGCCATGCAAATAACGTGCTTATAGCATGAAACCGAATTTCATACAGTAAGAGGGTGGAGCAGAAAATAATAGAAAGTTAAATATTAAATGGTAAAGAGAAATATGATCTTTATTTGGAGAAGGTGCTATTAGCTAATCTGTGCTGCACTGTAGAAAACTATGCGCTAGTGCAGTCCTGTTCAATTCTAAAAAAAAAAGCTGTGTTCCATAGGCTATCACCTGATTTTACCTCTTCCTGGACATGTTGCCAGGCTGCTTTCTTTCTCAGCCATTACATTGTGTACATCTTAACTGTCATTTTATAAAGTAGAGGAGTTTCTTGTCTATCAGGGATTTCAGGTGGCCCCATCTGTAGAGCTCAAACGCACAGTCTATGAGCTGCACCTTGTTTTGGTAATCCTATATTAACTTTTTGGGTGCCGTGATTACAAAATACATTGGACATGTGTAGACGCTGGTGACACTTGAATCTTTTGCACCAGAATACTTTAACCACTTGCTGTCTGAAACAATTTCTTACTTTAACCACTTGCTGTCTGAAACAATTTCTTACTTTAACCACTTGCTGTCTGAAACCATGTCTTTCTTTAACCACTTGCTGTCTGAAACAATTTCTTACTATTTGCGCACACATGATAACATTTTTGGCTAGAAAACAGCTTCAAACCCCCAAACAATGATATATTTTTTGAAATAAATTTTTTGTGTCACACAGTATTTGCGCAAATGTTTTATCAAACCAGTATTTTTAGGATAGAATACACTAAAATGATATTTTGGGCACAGAAACAGAATATAATACCCAATTTTTTTATAAAATGTGAAAGATGGGGTCACGTCAGGTATATAAATTCCAAACAAACATAAATGCATACACACAATAGTTTGGGCTTGATGGACTTATGTCTTTATTCAACCTTAAATACTATGTAACTATGTCAAGCCTTAAAATTGCTTTCGCTTCAGTACCCCAAATTTCCCATAGGGAACACTTTAAACGCTTTTAGCGCTCATCACTTTAGTGCTAACAGTGATTAATGGCTCTAGAATTATTGCTGTCACTCTGATGTTTGCGGTGATATGTAACATGTGTAGCGCCATTTCGCACGCAGGTGTACCAACGCGTGGGGAACAGGGGACTCTAAAATCTTTGAATTTTTTTCTTTTTCTTATGTTACTTTAACTGCTTGCCGTCCGCCCGTTGTAAAAAAAAATGGACGGACGGCAAGCTCCCAGTGGCGGGTCGCCATAAATAAATGGCTTTTTTTTTTCTGTTACCGTACACCTGATTGGCGGCTCTATAGCCGTCCGATCGCTTGTACGTGCTGCCCTGCGCCCCCTCTGCAGTGCCGCCCCCCCATCCTGCACCATCTGCAGCCCGGGACCGGCATGGGTGGATGGGAGGGAGTTCAGCATCTTCCTCGATGCTGATCTCCCTCTGACATCTGATTGCGAAAGTGATGTGTAATTACATTATTTCCGCATGCAGCTGTCATTTCTCTGGCTGCTATAGCCAGAGAAGAAACTGGTGAAGCAGATCTTAGAGACCCCTAATGTCTCCATAAAGAGGACCTGCCAGTGTGCCTGTCACATAAGGGGATGGTTGGTCTCCTGTGTGATAGCAATAACATTAAGTGAAAAAAAAATTGGAAAACAAGGCACATAAATAAAATGAAAAAGGTTTTTTTAAGTCTCCCACCCCCACGTTTCCACACATATAAACATAAATACGCACAAGGTGTGCCAGCGCACAAAAACTACAATTGCGCTACACATGTTACATATTGCCGCAAACATCTGAGTGAGAGCAATCATTTTATGGCCATCAATTACTGATGACACTAAACTGATGACCAATTTTGGGTATTGTAGTTTTATGAGATTTCGCGGGCACGTGCAATTTTAAGGCTTGACATGTTTGGTGTCTATTTACCCAAGTGTGTATATTTTACCAAAACCCAGTGGCAATTAAATACCACCAAAAGAAAGCTCTATCTGTCCCCAGAAAATTGTATAAAATTCATTTCAGTACAGCGTTGCATGACGGAACAAATGTCAGTCAAAGTACCATAGCACTGAATACTGAAAAATGGCCTGGACAGGAAGGGGGATTTAACACCCGAGTCAGCAAGTGGTTAATTTTTTTTATTTTTACACTTCTGCGGGCCGCCGTATATAAACGTATTGCGGCTCGGAAGTGGTTAGATTGCAGTAAAACTGGAAATAAAACCTCTCTGCATAGAAAATAGCAGATCTGGTGGAAATATATATACAAAAGTTCCAGTACATACAGTGTGGCAAATAATTATTTGTCACCTGCAGATTTTGTAAGTTTTGCCCATGAAAGGTCTATCATTTTTATCATAGGTGCATTTTAAATGATAGAGACAGAATATCAACCACAAATCCATTAAAAACACATGATACAAATGTTATAAATGGAGTTTCAGTTCAGTGAGTAAAATAAGTATTTGATCCCCAAACAAAACATGACTTTGTACTTGGTGGAGAAACCCTTGTTGGCAAGCACAGAGGTAAGATGTTTCTTGTAGTTGGTTACCAGGTTTGCACACCTCTCAGCAGGGATTTTGATCCACTCTTCTTTACAGATCTTCTCTAAATCCTTAAGGTTCTTGGCTGTCGCTTGGCAACTAGAAGTTTCAGCTCCCTCCTTACATTTTCTATAGAATTAAGGTCTGGAGACTGGCCAGGCCACTCCATGACCTTAATGTGCTTCTTCTTGAGCCACTGCTTTGTTGCCTTGGTGGTATGTTGTGGGTCATTATGCTGAAAGACCCATCCACGACCCATCTTCAGTGAGCTGACTGAGGGAAGGAGGTTCTCATCCAAGATTTTACAATGCATGGCCCCTTCCATTGGGCCCTCAATGCGGCAAAGTCGGCCTGTATCTTTAGCAGAGAAACAACCTCAAAGCATAATGTTTCCACCTCTGTGCTTGACTGTAGGGATGGTGTTCTTAGGGTAATAGTCAGCATTTTTCTTCCTCCAAACACGGCGAGTTGAGATAATGCCAAAGAACGCTCATCTGACCGCAGCACTTTCTCCCAATCCTTCTCTGAATCATTTAGATGTTTGTTGGCAAACTTCAGACGGGCCTGTACATGTGCCTTCTTGAGGAGGTGGACCTTCCGGCGCTGCAGGATCTCAATCCATGGCGGTGTATTGTGTTACCGATGGTTTGTTTGGTGACTGTGGTCCCAAAGGCCTTGAGATCAAGCCACCAAAATGCAGTCTATCTAAAGTTGGCCATGCACTGTTAGAATTACAGGCTATTCTTGCAAGGACCTTTCTTGTGAAGGTCCTTGTCCTTGTTCTGGAACTATCTGTTTTAGGGTGACCATGCTTATTTACTCTCTCCCATTTGCTCTCCTGCATTGTCACACTGTCACATGCTCTTCCATTGGAAACTGGTGGTCGTGCCAACACTCTGCAGAGACATTTCTACTGCTGTCGCAATAGGGACACCTTCCCTAAGAAAGCATATTCCGCTGCCACTGGAGGGAGAACATGTAGGTTGCAGGGGCTGAGATGCAAAGAAGGTGTAAACAGTATTTTGTACAAAGAAAACGAAATGTCATCCAGTTAGATTTTACATCTACATTTAAATATCTACAAAGAATCATGCAATTTTTTGTCATTTTGGAGCTTTATTGTTTTTGGCAAATACAAAAAAAAAATGTTTGCCTTTTTTCTCCTCTGTATAATTTACAGGCGAGTATGGACATAAAATAAAACTCTAGTCAAAAATATGTTCAGTTTTGGATAAGGTAGGGTTTGTATTGTCTAGATCCCTGTTCTGGATATTTCTTCTCACTTTTCTGGTTGCCACTGTGAGGGAAATCTTAACAATGAAGACACAACAACATAAACGTCTGACAGAGGTCCTGACAGTCTCTTTTTACTATAGCAATGTGTATTATTGTGGTTTTTCTCCCTGTTGGGTGTTTTCTTTGCAGCCCTGTCTTTAACTCATTGACGGGGACAATAAAAACATTGTCAAATTCTGATCAGTTTAGTCTGGTATTCCATTTCAAAGTGAACCCGTGAGAAGGAAACTTGTAGATGTGATTGCGGACTCGTTTTTAAAGGTTCATGCCCCAGGGCTGCCATCCTTCTCCATTACCTTCCAAGATTCATGCCAAGAACAAGCATACAGCTAGTAAAATCTGAAAACTCATGTCGCTGACTTGCTAGGTGGTAAAGTCAGGATCAAGAAAACTGTCCCATACCACAAGTCAAAGAAGAAGTAGAGGCAAGGCACTGGACCCACTTATCTGGTGCATCAAAGAAAAGTCTCTAGTTTGTTCAGCTGAGTTTGGCAGTTCTCCACAAAGCAGAGGCCTATCTAGTAAAAGGGGTTATCCAGCTTGAGAAATCTACATGAAGCTGAACCAGAAGGAATGGTTACATTGTATTTTATTAAGCCGCAGTTGTAAAAAAAGGCACCAAAACCAGCCATTGGGTGCGAGGGCTAAACAATTCCCCCTTCACCAGGATTTTGACAACTCTCAAATAATATATTGTACTAGGATCCCAGACCAATACGTCAGAACCAGGGGATTTACAGATGTGATTTAGTGGATTTTTGTGCTAAGAAGCAGTGCAGCATAAATACCACATGTCAACAGTAGCATAACCCATGTTTGTATCGCCACAGTTATATTGCATATTGTGTATAATTTACCATGACAAATTTAAGAACTGTTTTTTGTAAATCTCCCTTATTGTGTATTTATAACATAATTGTTTGCAGTTAGTGATGAAATATATTTAGTCGTGTTTGCAGCACCTTAACTGTCTTACTTCTGTTTTTCAGCATCTTCTACTGGAAGAATCACAAATCCGCCTTCTACAAGAACACCTGCATCCGATAACAAACCCTTTGTACCACCTCCTATGGATGATCAAGATACATTGTTCCAGAGGGCAGAACATATACCTGCCGGGACACGCACCCCAATGTGTGCTATCTGCAACCTAGTCATTAGGTAGGCAATGATGTTTTCAATGTTTTGATACAGATGTTTAAAATGTATATTACAGTTCTGTAGATAACTAGTCATTTGAATTTGAACAGCCATCTGGAATACAACAGCCCAGGCTCCAAACATGGTCTGAGCTTTGGCTGTGTGTGTATGTTCTAGCTCTTTAGTTGGCCAAGGAATATTAAGAATACCTCATTCACCCTAGTATGGGCTAAATCACAACAGCAGTTTTTCACAAAAGTACCTACAGTTAATGATTGAATCCAAATTCCTAATTTTAAAAGGGGCTTGGTTAATCACTGATTGGTACTTTGAGAATTGTTCCAAGTTCTTTATTTACACCGGTTCCTATTGGTGTGTCACATGAACACATGTGTGTTATGTTGCATGTTTTGTGTTAAGGCAGCCTGTTCAATTAAATGGGCTGTCAATACACTCAGGCCTTGTTCACACCAAGCGCGGAGCAGGTGCAGAGCAGTTACAGACCGGATCAAAACTGCGTCCAATGTATTCCAATGGTATTTTTTGCTGCGGTTCACATCGCAGCGTGCAGTTCCAGAGCAGGTGAAAAAACTGCAGCAAGCCCTATTTTACCTGCTCTGGAACGCATCCAAATGCCTGGAACGTACTTAAAGCCAATGTTAAACTAAAAAAAAAAGAATTTTTGTTTTTACCAAATAGGCCCGGAACGCATCAAAAACGTGGCAAAAACGCCACACACTGTGTGTGCAGAAACCTGAGCGGATCTGCTCTGCATTTGGTGTGAACAAGGCATAAAACAGAGATGAACATTGAACATGCACCATATTTTTCCAGCACAGGGCACCACAAAGCAGGATAGTGTTACCAGGTGTTGTGATGCACTGCAACACATGTGCATCAGAGGTGAGGAGGGTTAAAGCATTATGCTGCCACTAATGATAAAGGACACTGTAAAGCACTATAACATGCATTAACGCACATTCCTACACCACACTGGAGAGGTGTGAATGGCCACTTATTGTTTTATTGTTTGGTGATTTGATTGCAGGACCTTAAAAAGTAACAGCTGTGAAGGTTTGCTTCTTAGTTTTTGAGTGCATCATCAGCATTATTTTTGTGCTTCATATTGTTATCATGTTTTGTTACCGATGAAGTTTAATCATTTTCTCCTGTTCGCATTAGATCCATTTCCTCTGATCACATATTAATGGCTACAGCAGGTGGTTTCAATGTGATTTCAGTTCATGCCCTTGTTGGCAAGAATACCTTGCAGTAAAGGGGGCACTTGTATCAAGTGACAGACTACGACACCTGTTCTGAAGCCAAAATACATCCAGGACAGGGACGCTCTACTTAACAGAATATAAAGCCAGACATGATCCTCAAGATAACATACCTTGCTTTTGTTTGCGCTGTCAATTATTGATTTTTTTTTTTTCCTTTTTAAATTTGTTCTCAATAGCCTTTTAGTAAGCCTAGCATCTTTCACTTCAGTTCATAATTTCCTGGGGGTGCTGTCATTAATAAACAACTGAATGTTTAGATGTTGGGCAGGGACTAGAAATGTTTTTTGCCCTAGTAAATACATCTAAGCCAAATTAATCTTCTAGTTGTGATACTGCATGTCCAGCTTTCCATATAGGACAGGTTTTAATAAAAAGGATAACTATGCTGTCACTATGCATCTCATAATCTGTCCAGTGGCTTTGGCTACTCGCATCCTAAGACCGTGGTCTGATTTAAATGGTAACATTTTGGAAATCACTCTTTTATTAAAGCTTATTGTAAGATTGCCCAACGTTTTTTGATAGATGACTGTGGCCAAAAAATAGCCTTTAACCCCTTCGTGACTGACAAATATAACATGGGTGCAAAAAATGAAAAAAGGGCCTCAGTCATGAAGGGGTTAAAGTGGTAATTCAGCTATTTCTCCTTTAAATATTTGCATGTTAAAGTGACACTAAACTCAGGAGTTAAATCCTAAAAATGCATTCAAGTACCTTAACTATTAACAAAAATGTATCTTATTTGTGTATCACTCGGCTGTAGATCATCAAATCATCTCTGAATTGGTGCTGACACTGTCCTTCCTTCTGGAGGGTGACTACTTTTGTTCCTCATGGTCCCTGTGTGTGTTGTAAAGTAGCCACCGCACCAAGCTCGCTCCCGTGATGGACTACAATCTCAATACAAATTAGTAAACTAAACGTGCGATCGTAGTCCATCACAGGTGTGAGCATGGAGCAGTGACGACTTTACAACACACAGGGACCATGAGGAAGAAAAGTAGCCATCCCCCAGAAGGAAGGACAGTGTCTGCACCAAATTCAGAGATGACCTGTGGGGGCTTTTAAAGCGTCTATGGACTTTTTGGGGTACTGAATTATGTCGCAGTTTACACCATTTTTAACCTGGGCATGTTGGGTATCTACTTACTCCTCGACTTGCTTGTGCAATATAACCATGCACATAGTAAAGTGATATTAAAGTCAAAAGGATTTTAATAGGGCTGCAACAACTAATCAACATAATCGATTAATCGGCTTCCGCTCAGTTGGCCCTGTTCATGGCTCCACACATGCGGCGCACCTCCTCCCCAACTCACGCTCACCGCTGCCAGACCCGCCCGCATCCACGCTCTACACGCCGCACCTCCTTCCCGCCTCACACTCACCCCCCGCCCACATCCACAATCGGCACATGGACGTGGGGAGATGTAGTAAGGAGGAGCAGGTGTGGGGGGATGACAGCCGCCGATAGACAGGCCCGATCTCAGAAGCAAGTTGCTGGAAGACTGCTCAGGTAAGCCTGCACTTTCCCCCACACGGTGCTCTATAATGTATTGCTGGGATTTGTATTCCTCTATAGCTGATGGTACATTTTGCTGTATATTATACATAGGAATACAAATCAAAGCAATACATTATACACTGTATGTATAATGTATTGCTGGGACTTGTTGTACTCCTCTATAGTCGGTGATATTCTGCGCTGTATAGAGGACTACAAATCCCAGCAATAATACATTATACAGCGCAATGCGGAATTCCACCAGCTATAGAGGAGTACAACAAATCCCAGCAATAATACATTATACAGTGCAATGCCGAATACCACTATCTATAGAGGACTACAAAACCCAGCAACAGTACATTGTACAGCACAATGCAGAATACCGCCAACTATAATGTACTATTGCTGGGATTTGTTGTGCTCCTCTATAGCTGGTGATATTCTGCATTGCGCTGTATAATGTACTATTGCTGGGATTTGTTGTCCTCTATAGCCGGTGCCATTCTGCATTGATTGCTGTATAATTTTACACTTTCCATTTCACTATATTGCACACCACACTTTTTTTTTTTTACTTCCACCGCTCCAGGTTTGCTCCTGTGATGGACTACAATCTCAATACAAACTAGTAGTCCTATCACTGGAGCCATTTTAAAAAAATTTATTTTGTTTATCCGATCAACCGATTAATCGAACTTAATAATCGCCTAACCGATTTTGAAAATAATCGTTAGCTGCAACTCTAGATTTTAAGCCATTTCAAATGCTGATGAAATCACTTGCACATCAAGGAACAGCATTCATTGTAAAAGTTTTAGTTTCCTGCAGAATCAGCTAGTTCCCTGAGCACTGGTCCTGACTTCCTGTTTTAGAGTGACTCCTTTCTCAAGCACAGTGCTATGCACTAACCCTTGTGTGTGCTAGTAAGTTGTGTCTCCACAAACACGCAGACACAGCACATCAAGCTACTCCCCTCCCCCCTTGGCCCCTTCTCCAAGCTAGTAGATGCACAGTTGCAGGAGTCTGCTTTGTCCCAAGTGATGCTGTACTGGCCATAAAAATCAGGGAGGTTTTGATGAGATTTGGAAGCAGCTGTTTACTGGCATTTACAGTTCTGCTATAAGCTCATGCCCGTGGCACGGCTGCTTCCGGCATCTGGAGTCTCTCATCCCTCCCTGGAGCCGCTCCAGGGAGGGGTGAGAGACTCCATGGATCCCCGCTGCTGTCCCCCGCTTGTGGGGTCTATGGCAGCGGGGATCCGAAGTAAAATCATCGGCGAGGGGGGAACAGAGGAGCGATCGCAATTCAGGATGGCAGAGCGGCAAGTATACCGGAGCCGCTGTCATCCTGTCACTTCCTGTGAATTCATAAATTCATGAATGGGGACTAGCACTCACTACAGAGACTCCTCCCCATTCATAAACTGTTGATAGTAAAATATTTTTAATATCATTTTCTGAATGAATGTGAAGCCTCTGTACTGAGTGCTTTCACATTCATTGAGTGCTGGGGCTGCAGAAAAAGAAATTGAGGCCTCTGTGTTTCAATTTATTTTTCCATTTCAAAAGGGAAATGTCAGGGGTCTGTTTACCCCAGATATTTCACCGTAGCCCCCCAACAGTATAAAAAATAAATAAAATAAAAAAGTCCAGTTGCATCTTGCATATCACTAGTGGACAGTATGAGGCCTAGATATTTTTATATTCAGATGCTCTCGCTGTGTTATACTACCCTGTATAATTTTTTACCACCCTCGGCTTATATTCGGGTCAATACTTTTTCCCAGTTTTTTTGGCTAAAATTAGGTACCTCGGCTTATATTCGGGACGGCTTATACTTGAGTATATACGGTACTTGGAATCCATTGTGTCTTGCTTTGTATGTGTGGTAACCTTATTGAAGGGTGGGGAACACAGAGCACGATCCTGAATATTCTGCATTCCACATAATCCCTTATTCACCTGCAGTTGAACTTTGTGTACTGATCAGAGACTCGTAATCTTGAAAGAGCCATCATTGTGTAGGGATTTTGTTGCTGAAGGGTTTTTTTCCTCTTCTTTTTTCCTCTTGTGTCCCGAGTTACATTAGGGATACCTTCCATAGCATTTCCACGCTCTCAGGGTCCCATTTTGCAGGTTGCATTGCCTGTCTTTTTAATACAGATAGAAACTCAATACTGTCTGGAACAGGGAAGCTTGTCTTCTTTAGTGTCAGTCTTTTGTTAATGA